TATATATATATATATATATATATATATATATATATATATATATATATATATATATATATATATATATATATATATATATATATATATATATATATATATATATATATATATATATATATATATATATATATATATATATATATATATATATATATATATATAAAGATTATACACCCGACAAGTCGAAAACCTGAAAAGGCAGCTTAGACAAAAAAGGGTATCCCGATGGATTGAAAACCCAAAAGGGCGGTCCAGGAAAAATTAAGGGATTAAAGCGTACTACCATGTTCCTTTAGATCATCTACATACAACAAGATTTGTTACCAATGTCAAGTTCAAACGGTACATATCAATTGAGTCAACTTCTTCTGACGGCGAGAGATGAGATGCTTGAAGACATAAAGGCAATAGCAGAGTTGAAACTCAATGAGATCGTTTCCACATAGTTGTTTCTATTTGTTTTACTCCATACTCTTTTCATTTTACGACGATTTCATCTTACTGGGATTGCTGTCTCTATGTACAAAAATCGTCTGTTTATAGGCAAATTATCAATACAAATACAATTACAAAATTCAATTTTTTTTTATCTTTTTTGTTTTGTTCGCAAAAAACGTCCAATGACTAAATTGAATAAACATATGCATATAAGTATGATTATTGTTAACAAATATATGCATAACAACTGGAATCAACATTTACTAAAGACTCTAGGAATTGAGATAACGTTCAAGTCGTCCACAAATCCCCACAAAACAACCTCCATGGGATTATCCCCCATAGAATTACCTTCACAAGCTCATCCCAGACGGAGATAATTCCCCCGCAAGTCTAATAAGCCTTCAAGTCAGAAATTAGGGCGTCTTTGAGCTATTAACTTGACCTTACTCCCCAGCAGATCCCCCTAGCAGATAAAAGAGTTTGATCATTTCCTCAGCATACGGAGGAAACTTCTTCAACATAGTTCACAGGAATCTAATTCCCCTTATGAGTTATTTCTCCAACATTGCAAAATCCCCTACAAAATTCTCTTCTTCAACATGGTTTATTTCCCCAGCATGATTTATTTCCCAAGCAAGGTTTATTTCCTCAGCAGGGTTTATTTCCCCAATGGAATTTAATTTCCCAAACAAAGTTTATTTCTTCGATTACTGCAAATCCCCGGTAAATTCTCTTCTCCAGCAAAATGTAGTCAAGATTACTATCCCCGGATAGTTACTACGGAATCCAAAACCGGGACATATATCAATTTTGTCCTCCCCAGAAGAGTGACGTCCATATCTAAAACTTGGTCATACAACACCTCTGAAGGTTATTCGTCTTTTTTATCCCCAGTCAGGATATATAAGAACTAAAATCCCCCAGTAGAGCGATGAACGACCAAGGTTCCTGAACTCTTCTATCCCCAAGCAGAAGCCAAATATTCCCGGCGGAGTATCCTCAAACGGAAACCAGGAATCCTCAACAGAGACATCCTAAATAAGATTTAAGATTTATATTCTTCATCCCCAGTGATAGTCAGGGATTTATTTTCCCCAACAAAGATGTTGTACAAAGTTACCGATACACTTTAACGACATCTTATATCCAAACATCATTTACAAATATCATAGCATACGTATACGAAACGCATATGGCACACTCTCATTTACTTTGACAACATCATTACGCAATGTATTACATGCATCATGACATTGCATAAAGACTAACTTTTCTTTTTAGGTAAAAGTCTACAAACAGACGAATATCATCAATAACTTTCAAAATAAGTCATAGATTAATTCCTGAAACAGGACGGAGAAACTATCTATATGACCATGTCCAAGATTAATTCCTGAAACAAGACGGGGAAACTATTTGTACGACCAAGCGATATGAATTCCTGAAATAGGAAGGGTTCGCCGACAGAAAGCAGGTCAAAGATTAACTCCCGAAACAGGACAGGGAGACTATCTTTATAACCAGGAAAAGATTAACTCCTGAAACATGACGGGAAAACTATCGACAAGGCCAGGTGGTATGAATTTCTAAAACAGGACAGGTTTACCAACAAAAATAGATTGTAGATCAATTCCCGAAACAGGACGGGACGGCTATCTACATGACGAGCATTTACTTCAGAGACTAAATATGATGAACACTCCCCTCAGAGACCGGATTCTGACAAGCATTTCCCTTAGAGACTAAATCTGACAAGAAACTACTTAAGCACCTTCCCCAGAGGTTCATTCTGGAAAGCATTCTTCAGATGCAGTCAAGCATAAACTCATTCTGATACTCTTATCAATAGTTACCTTGGATGGCATCTATAAGCCCATCTCTAACGATATTCCGTCACCCCTCACCAAATGGCATCTTTAAGCCCATTCAAGCAATATTATCAACCAACAACTTTACCTCCTGCACATGTGAGTGCAAATTTTTGGGAACTTAAGTGTTCAATTCTCTTCTAACTTCAGATCACGAATGGCGGATATGCCAATCTAACTCATCGGGTTTAAGAAGATTAAACATGGACAACTGTTGTACCCAAAAATTTTCCATTCCATTTTTTCAAGACATTCTCCTAGGGTTCTCAAATGCTTAAGGTTGCTCAAGAATTGACCAGACAAATTCTCCTCCTAAGCAATGGACTTACAACCAGGGTTTCACTTTTCCCAAGGAAATTTGAGCTTATAATGCCTCAAGTAGATTTCATGGTTCCTCATATGTCTCAAGGAATGCTCATGCCAAATTTCAAGCCTTGCATCACAAGTTTGCTCAGTCAATTGCTCAGATGACTAAAAATCAACTATATTGGGTAAAAAGTCAATTGTGGTCAACATACAGTCAAACTGCAAGATTTTTGGTCAACATCAAGATTTTGAAGTCACATTCATCAATTGATCAAGAGTTAATCATGATTCATAAAGGAAAACTCTCAAATCATCAAAAGTTAAAATAAGATAAAATAAGACAAGGCTTATTACATAAGTCCAAGCCCATGTTATTTGACCTAAAATGTAAGCTATATATTCTTCCTCATTCAGACATGAAAGCCACGAAAACCTTGTGCTAAAAATCACTTCCTAAAAATCACAAAATTATTAAACTAGGGAAATCTTTAAACCCTAGCTTGCAGCCACCTTCCAAGCATTCTTGCATTACCAATCGATTCCTGGAGAGGTACAGAGTAAGAATGGATCAAACACAGTGATCCAAACCCTCCAGAACCTGCACGCATACATGGTTGTTTCATTTTTTTTTTCAAAATTCATATCTTAATTTCCTTCATGTTTCATTGCATACTGACTTTTCTAACATGTTCATGAGGTATTAATATGCAGGAAAAGACCAACAATGGAGTTCCATGATGATCGAATCGTGAATCACCATAACCACATCGATTCATAATGTTTTTGTTATAACTCCTAAACCATTATGTTTCAGTCAAAAATAACCATCCCATTGAATTCGCATGCCTCGATTTAGGGGGGTAGGGTCCCTTTGGACCTCTAATAGGGTTTATTTCGCAGGTTGAAAGAAAAGACTCACCGGAGAAGACGACCGGAGCTAGGACTCCGGCGTCTCTCTGGTCCAAGCGTTTTGTTTAATATTTGTTTTAATTATTTCAGTTTAAACAATGGATGTATCACCACTCCAGTGGTTAAACGCGCGCGCTAAAGGCTTTAATATGCAAGAGCACGGGTTTGATCCCTGCTTTTGGCATTTTTATGTTTTTTCATGATTTTCCATGTTTTGCAAGATAACACACAAAACATGTTGGTTCTCCTTTCCTAACACAGGCGCGCGCCTGACCTAGTGGTGAGCATGCTGGATAAGAATGCTAAGGGCGTGGGTTCAACACCCACCCCTGACAGTATTATTTTAAAACTTTATTTTCTTCATATTTTTCTTATTTTTGCATTTATAAACCCTAAATTTATCAAACCAAAACCTTTAACAATTTTTTTTTCATAAACCCTAATTAGTTTAGGTTTTTTATTTAATCAATCAAATTAGATTTTTAGGTTTTAATTTAATTAATCAGTTCTTTTTTTAATTAATTAAAATAAATTAGGTTTTAGGATTAATCATTATCAAAATCCTTTTTAATAAAAAATCACTAAATTTTTTTTTCTTTTTCGTGTTCTTAGTCTTACAATTAGCATAGATTTCTTTTCTCGCGCTTTTTTCGATTATTGTAACTGCTCATAGTTTGTAATAGTAATTAGGTTTACTTTTCCGCATTGTTACTATGTATGTACCTCTCCCAAAGCCGTGTAATAACTTAGGGTTTATCTTTCCACATTTACTTTCCGCACATTTACCGCTTTCTTATTTTACTATGTTACTTTTAGTAATTAGGTCATATATGGGAAGATTAAAAGCAAACGATAGCAAAACCCTAATTTTCAAAGACTAAATAACTGAAATGAACACACTTGCACACTCGCACCTCTAGGGTAACATCCCTTGTTGCCTCAGAAAAACAGTCATGTCCCTCGAACGAGGGGACGCTTTAGCACAGTCCCTCGAAAACAAAGATCGTAGTCTCTCAATGATCCTTTCAATGTTGCATTCGGTAAACAATCTAGCCCATTGCGATAATTGCTAAAGCATCCCTACGAGTTGCCTTCGATGATTGTACGATCTCTCACATTTGTCCATTCACATCCAATGATAGGGCTTCCTACTATTAGGTAGGATAGCACCATCTAAATGAGGAGAAAATTATAAGAAAGACTTTGAGTAGGTAGACCGCTTTTAATCGCTTCACAAACATTTCAAAACAAAAACATCTTTTCACAAACACTCTTCAAAAAATATTTTCAAAACAAACACTTTATACGCATTCTCGAAGACGGATACGAGAATCATTATAAAATCTTGCCTTACAACTGACATTTCAAAATATTTTTCAAACACACATTCATAAAGCAATTTTTAAAACAAAGTGAGCTAGCGATTAAGAGCTCGTAGATAATTACAGATGAAAGATGTGCTAACACTTTCCCTTTTCATAATCTACACCCGAACTCGAAAATTTCGAAGGTCTTTCCTGTTCTTTTCACTCTTTCTTTATTAGATAAAAAAAATCGACAACGACTCTTATTATCTGTAACATTTACGATAAAACACAAAACGAAGCATAAAAACAAATTCAAAAAGTCTAATAACATTGCTCTTGTAAAAACTAAAAAAGAATAGAAAAACATTACTGACTGCTTTGTCCTTGGTGTTTGAGTGTTGACATAGCTCTCCATTCCAACCTCGTGATCAATAAAAATTTCAAAATGAGTATTTGTATAAAAACAATAAAACACAATGCAATATGGTATCATTTAGTTTAGTGCAAATTAGAACATCACAGATATAGAACATATATACATTGCATATATCATATTCAAAGTTGAAAGTTCAAACTACATTTTTGTCATCCGAAAAAACCCTACTGATCTTCATCTACCCATCCCATCCATTAATTCCCAATACAGGCTGGCATACCCATATTCGAAACAAAAACACCGGAAGACACACCCTAAATTATTACATTAAAAAAATAAAACATAACTTCATGATCCTTAAACATTGTTTCTGATCCTGTTTTCAGCGATCTGACCCAACGACTGTAAATTACAACGTACGATTGTGTCAACAAAAACACACGTTTCCTCCTTCGTATTACCTTGCGGTACATCAACGACGTATGACTCAATGACAAGTGTCCTGTTTCCGTCTACAGAATGAAGCGTCGTCACCGACCGATAGTTTCTCAGACGGTGATCCCCACCGACAACGCTAAAGCTGATGACGTGCCGCTCATCGTCGAGAATCTCCAACCGCTCTGTACTCGACTCGGCTGGAAGCCCGGAAACCACGCGAACTTCACGGACTGCACCGACGTTAATGCCGTCTCCGGTAATGACGTGGCAACTTTTAACAAAGTTCTTGTATCCTTGCGGATTGTCGAAGCGTCGAACCACCGGCCACACGGCGGAGACGGGTGCGTCGATGTTTTGAGTCACGACGGAGCAACACTGGTTGGGTCCCACCATATGCGCGTGGTGAAGACGACGCGCTGCCGCGGGTGGTGGCGTTTGTGGTTGTTTGGGACAGTTTACACCGTTGGCGATGGCTGCTGAAGCGGTTGCATCTGTTGTAGGATTGAATCTCTCAAGCTGAAGAGAAGAAGGCATATTTATTATTTTTTTATAAATATTTTAAAAAGAAAAAAGTGTGTGAGAAATGAGAATGTGTATTATTGATTTATTGATGAAGATGAAGAAGAAAATGGAGAAACCTTTATATTGTGTAAGTAATATTTTTGTAGTACAAGTTGGAATAGATTTGGTATAGAGGGTTTTTTTTTCTTTGCTCTTTTTCAGCTTCGAGAGATAAGTTTGAAGGTGAGAAAGGAAGAGATAATAGGTAGGAATGGGATTGAGGTTGGTTTGTTTGGTTATACAAGGTTGTTTTTGTTATTGATTTTATGCAAAGCCACGAAGGAGCTTACGCATGGTTATGCAAGTGGATCATCAACTTGCAAGTGTATTTGGTCTTAGTTTTATCATTTATCCCATTTTTTTCTTTATTTCAAACTTTAACATTTTGCTTCTCTCCCTCCATCTCTATTATTTTATTGTTCACTTGTATATAATTAGTTTTTCTTTTATTTGCCAACTTCTTTCCTATGGATCCCACCACACTTTTTACTATTGTATTTTTATTTCACACCATTTTCATTATTTTTTTGGGTATTGTGTTGGTTTTTCTTTATAAATACAATAAATCAAATTGCATAATAATATTTTTTAATTTTTAATAAATTAAGCTGTTAAAATAATTAAAACTATATAAAAAGAGAAGACAAACATATAACAAAGTTGTGCCGCTTATCCTTTTTAATTTAGTTTCTCAAAATATTATTATTTATTCAATTAGTAGTTAAATTATATAAAATAATAAATAATTTATATATGAATTATATTACTTTGATCCCTAAAATATAATGTTATTTGTCTTATTAGACCTTACCATTTAGTTAGTTTGAATTTTCTCTTTTTCTCTTTCCTTCTCTTTCATTCAAACAAATGTAAAATGAAAGAGAAAATTAATAAAACATTATAAATTAAAGAAGAGACATGAAATATAAGAGAGATAGAGAGAAATTAGTGAGGGAGAGAAAAGATGGAATGAGAGGATTTAAATTCTCATTTAATAGTCGGAATTTGAATACTTAAATAAATTAGTACTTTTATTTTCAGTGCGATGCACGAGACAAATTCTACTTTTATATATATATATATATATATATATATATATATATATATATATATATATATATATATATATATATATATATATATATATATATATATATATATATATATATATATATTGTACGCGAGAATTTTTTTAAAAGATTTTTGTTAATTGAATGATTGAAATACATATGAATTAACGGTGGAATAATGAATTGAAAAAATTAATATTAAATATCAATTAGTACATTAAATAATTATTTGTTGAAAAAAGAAAAGAAAATAATGTGATTAAAAATTATTTAGACGAAATTTTATTCAAAATTTAGCGTCTAAATATATATTCTATTTTAATATATTAAAGATATTACATAAATATAAATATTATTTAATCAATAACCTATGATATTTAGACAATCCATATTTTAATTCTCAATTTTTTTTGTCAAGCTCTCAATTTTATTTATATTTATCTCTTCTATCACATTACTAATATATCAATTTCTTTTTAGCTTATTTTTTTCTCACAAAGTGTATACATCTACTTAAATGAGGCGTGTTGGAATATTTTATAGTTAAATATTATTTAATTATTATATTTTAATGTTATTATGTGATTAATATATTTATGTGAGTTATATTAGTTATTTATTAAATTAAGACCTTTAATTGATTAAATGATCAAATAAAATTTAAAAGAATTAAATTTGATATTTTGACACATACAAACAGATGTCAAGACTGATGTTCCAACACTAAAACACAATATCAAGATAGATGTTAAGACGTCATTTGTTGACAGAATAATTTTACCAAAATAGAAATTATACAAGATTAAATTGCATAAGGTAAATAACGCAATCAATTGTTAACTCATTTCGGTGTAACTCACTTACTCTAGGGACATCCAACTCAGGAAGGAAACTCACTATAATAGTATTAGTTCAAAGCTAAACAACCCTAATTTACAACTTATCTCCTAAACACTACCTTGTGCAACCTCTACCTAGAAATCTTTTAGATATGAGATCCCCTCTCACTTTCCACAATCATCTCAGTAATAAAACCAGTGACAAGAATCAAAATAGAAGATTACACTTCCAATAAAAAAGTAATCAACTATTTGCTTAAAAGCTCATGAGTGAGAACAATAACTTGACACACAATCAATTATTTGCTTAAAAGATCATGAATAATGGGCAAGTAACAATGAATAATCAGTCTACTTCAATGTATCAGAAGATACATGAGTGACTTACACAAACAAACAAAGCACCTAAAGCACTCTCAAAACCATAAACCCTTATGTCTTACACATGGTTTTTTGATGTGAATTCTTGCTGATTTTAGGTTTACTAAGTCCTTATATATAGACTCTTGCAGTATGAGCTTGGACTCTTCAATCAAATCCAATCTTCTAATTTTAAATCAGGTGCAATATCTTCTCCACAAAAATAGGAACAAATCTTCAAAGTTTTCTAAAAAGTCTCCAAGATCCTTTTTATGAAACAAAATCAAATATGCATTGTTTATAAAAATATCCTTGCTTAGTTGCGCCTGTATGAGACCTAAAATCCTCCAGAATCTCAGATTATACAATCAAATCTTCAAGGATTTAAACAGATACATTATTCTGATGTTTTCGTATAGCATGTCACAATATTTTTCAGAACATCTGTCAAAAATAGTAACAACAGACTCTGTTGTATCAATTGGTCAAGATGTCATGATATCTTGCTCAACTTCTGGCTGTGATATATGTTTTCCCATATGAAACATGTTTTACTAAAATTGTTGCCAATCATAAAATCACAGACCTAACAATCTCTCCCTTTGGTAAATTTTGGCTAAAATAACCTTAACACAATCAAACTGGAGAAGAGGAATAAAACCACAAAAACAAAACACAAGCTACATGGCACACATGTAAACTTTGTACAAACTGTAAACATAAAAAATATATCAGAGATACAATGCAGTTACAGGTAGACCCAGTCTCATGTTAGGTGACGCCAATGTATATATATGGGGTGAATACATACCCGATAAAAAATATTATTTTAAAAACTATTTTTAAAAATGAGTAAAAAACTATGGCAAGCAGAAATCGTATCCTAGATCGCTAGTCGTCCAATCCAAACTGGTTATTGGAGGCTCTGATATGTGAATTATATCAACAATATGGAAAATTATGATAAGTGATTAATACTATAAATTCTCAATTAATAGATTCACAACAACAACCAATCAAATCAATATCCAATGAAATATTTGATAAAGCCAATTGAAACAATTTATCAAACACTTGGTGTATACTTAATTTTTCAGATTTTCCTTTGAACTTTGTTGATATGTGTTGTACCCCAAAATTTGCCCTCCCCTTTTTCACAAGAAATCACAGCTTCGGGCTTTTCCTGATTTTTCAGATTGGCTTAAGAATCGGTCAAACAGACTTTTCTTATCAGTCAGACAGAATTAGGGTTTCCATTAACTTTTGAATCAGTCCAAGCAGATTATTAGGGTTTCTTTTGATTTGTTTGAGTTTGGCTCAGGGTTTGATCAGGCGGACGTTTCTTTGACAGTAAATCCAAAATTAGGGTTTACACGCGCATTCTCAGAAGAATTTGAATCCACAGTGTCTTAATTGGCTGTCACACAACTTTGACGCTTGTTCAAGATTTCAGTTTGTTTCTCAAAACCTAAACATATGGGATAGCAGCTGAGGCTTCTGATCGAAAGTTGAAGCTTTAGTTTGATCAGTGAGGTAAAAGGCGTGTGGACATTTGTTTGTTTAATTGTGCAATGCTTTTGGTTATTTGGAATGCCGAATGTATTATTGGTTAATGCGGGGTTGCGAGACTACAACGTTTATTAATTATTTATTTTATCTAAGTTAGAATAATTGGGATGTACTTCCAGTTATTTTAATTCAAGAAACTTAAATAATTAAATAGACACTGAAATAAAGAATTATCTGACAAAAGGACTTTTATTTATTTTTAATTATTGGTACAAGTGTTATTTGAATACAGTAAATTTATTTACAGTATTTATAATAATGTTTATTACAAATGATTAGAAATAAAATAAAACTATCCTAAGTCTCTTGAAGTCTTCATCTTCTACCGCTGCTTCCTTTGCCCGACTGGTATTTACCTGCAAAGCCAGAAAAAGGAGAAGTCAATAACAGTTAAATTGGAAAGGCATTTTCAGACAGTTAATCATAAAAGTTCATCATTAAAGGTTGTTGGCCGGAATCAGATTGTTGTGACTTTCATCATATTTTGCTCATCCTCTTTGCAAATCACAAGAAGATCTCTCTTCTTGGTTCACAAAGAGGAAAGAAAAATTATTTTACAAGCATATGAATCAATTAAGCAAAATGCACAAAGCTGCATAAGTCCAAACAAATTGCATTGTCAAACTGAAAATGCCAAACCAAGTCACAAGTGACAAACTATGCTGAATAAGTTTCAAACTAAGCAAACTAAATCACAAGTTCAAAACTGTCCAAAGAAGCTGTCAAAACTGTCCAAAGAAGCTACCAAATTGTCAAGAAGATATCAAAAGATATCAAAAGCTATCAAACTGTCATCAAAGAAAAGAAGAAAGTACAGAATGCAGAGGAAAGCTAAATTGCAAGCAAGCTTGTAAAACTTTTTCACCATTTCCCAGCCACAACCTTTTCAGAAAAAGCTATTCTAAATCATTAAAATATGCTTTTCTGAAGAGAGAGAAAGAGAGTAAAAAGCAGGCTTACAGTTTTTGGGTAGGCTTAAGACATAGATAAATATAACAAGATATCCAACACTGTAAAGGGGGGCAGAACACATAGAAAAATATAACACAAAGCTGTAAACACATAACACAGCCTGTAGCCTCAAAACTGCCTTCAAACCTACAAAACTGTTACAGAAGCAAGCCAACAAGCCGGT